TTTGGGCTATGGCACTTGGATAGATACGGGTATTGGGAAATGAGCTAATTTCTTAAGATAGATATTTAGGTTGGTGGGGTGGGTGGTGCCAATAGCCGTAAATTGGCAAGGTATGTTCTAACTCCAAATAGGGTGTTAACAATCAGACCCCAACCGGCCCTGACCCCAGTGCATGCAGCATGGCATGTGTGACACAATCCAGCGTTGCCTGCTTGCTGGTGGATCTGTCGGATTCGTCTTCCCCAAGACTGAGCATCCCGCTTTTGATCGCACAGGCCCAGACATGCTCCGAGCTCCTGGGGATTCAAATTGACGCTGCCATCAATAGTGGCAACAGCGGAGGAACGGGGATGGGCTCAGGAATGGGGAGGTTGGTTTCGTCAGGGCTTGAGCAGGCGGTAGCCGGGCGCAGGAGGCAGGCGGATTCGGATCGAGTCGCCGCAAACCGCCATTAACCAAGATCCCCCGAGCATACTGCTTGAAGTGTAACACCCTGAAAACGCTGCATATTTATTCAGCCCCGTGTCTTGTACTGTTTTGGCAGGACGTGGCTCACCGGCTTTTGCCAGCTTCTGCTGTACGGATAAGTATACCATGTAGACAGTATGTCAATGTGTATGAATGCATGCCATGCATGTGGTTGCTGGTACTTGTCGATCGCCCGCTCGCACTCCCTTCCTCTCGCTCTCTCGTTGCTTCTCCAAGAAGCTGAATGTGTGGCTCGTGAGCTGCACATGTGCTGCATGAATCAGGGGCTGAGGAAGTTGTGCCTCCTTTCGGCCCGATGAACACACTCGGTTTTGTTCAACAGGCCCGTCTAAGCTCGTACTGGGGCCGTCGTGAGGACCTGCCTTCAATGCCAACGGCGAGTGTCTGGGAATGGCGTGGACCCGGCTGGATTGAACTTTCCAAATTATGCCACACTTTGGGCTGTAAATCTGCACTCTTGCCACTTCCGTTTCTCAATCGCGGATGCACGTTGCAGTGGCTATAACTCTGCATCCATCGCCTGCCGGCCGACTGTAATCTTAGGTCACAGCAGCAGTGCATTCTGAAAACCACGGGGCCCTTTGCTGAGCGTACTAATTACACAATCATGGTTTCGATGTTGATGACGATCTCGTCATCATCAGCAGCAGCACCAGCAACATCATCGTACCAGCGAATGTCTCAGAAGAAGAAGTGGAAGCAGCAGCGGCTTTTCCGCAGGTTCCAAAGCCTATCTTCCGACCAAGCCGAGAACATCGGCTATGTGATCCCGACGGTGGTAGGAAGCCCGGTGTCTTTAGGATGCAGGGTCTAGGTGCTTGGGTGATCGCAGTTGATCTTCATGCTGAGTCTGGCAGCAGCACCAGGAGTAAACCGAACAGTTTGGAGACTGGAGCAGGAGCAACACTTGCAACGGTGGAGTAATAGCAGATGCCTGATATGCGGGTACTGATCCAGCTAGCAGTACGCAAGCAGGAATGGAAGAAGAGCAGCTGTTGCAATCAGAAGACTCCCCAAAATCAGAACCATGCCATGTAAGTGCCCCAGTAGTCATGAAGATGACCAAAACTGTGATTGGATAATGCGGACGGCCTCGTCTCACTGGCAGTCGTCGGGCCCTGGTAAACCCCCAACGCATTGCAGAGACCTCAGGTGATCATGCACTTTCTCAACGACCTGTTGAAGCACAACGGGCCCGCCTCTGCTGGGATGTCGGATTGGGGCCCAGTTGCAAGGGATTGAGGAATTGCAGCCTGCGCCCAAACAGGGAAAGAGCAGGGCCTTGTCCTCTGCGAGCCTCAGCTTGTCGTAGAGCCTCACGAATTTAAACTTATCGCTCCAGAGCATCATGCCCGAAGAGGAAGTCCAGCATTTTCATCAGGCAAGTTTCGAGATCCTTTACAACCTCTGCCAGGACCTACACTGGCTTCCCCACCCTGGGCATCGAGACGCAAACCATGGAGAATGCGCAGCTCCGTGAGGTGTGGATGCTTGCAACTGATTTCTTGGTTGGGAGCTCGTGGGTTTACAAGGGTTAAGGGTGTAGTGGGTATGTCGGTTGGGTGGGGCTTAGGGCTTATGCGGCGCAGAGCTTGTAGGCTTCTCCAGAATAGGCCAGCTCGCGTGAAGAGATCAACCATAGTCATCCCAGGTCAGGCTTGACTTCTCGGCCTCGACGTCCCACGCCTCTCAACCCTAAGCCCAACCCCATCTATACCTCAAAGATCCTGAAAGCCCGAAGCCCTAAATCCGCCCACCCGAGCCGGGAAAGTATGGGAGGCCTTTGGGATGACGGCGAAGCAGAAAGGCCGGAGCTCCCACACGGCAACAGGCGCAGGTCTGGTTGACTTTCGCCGAGCTTGGATCGTTGTCCTTGTTGTTGATGCTGGTCAGTAGGGCTGCTTTCTTGTCACTCTAGGTTCTGGCGAGAGTGGTTCAAGTCCATCTCTTTAGGTGCAGAACTTCTGACAAGGATCCAATGCAGAAGAAGTCTTTTGCCAGCCCACAGAATTAACTTGTCACAGACCTGTGGACGCACAGTCGAGGCCTGCTGGTCAACCGCATCGCACCGACCTGCGCAGTGGCAAAGGTGCGACTCGTCCGCAGGAGCCCGCTTAAGGCAGCTGCATGGGGTGTAGAGGGTATGCAAGTAGCACAGACCTTGAAGTGGCTTAGGCCCTAGGCCCTAGGCCGTCTGTCACTTTCGAAGATGATGAGCTTTGTGTTGCACTTTGGATGCCATGTGCAAGAAGCCACCCTGCCAAGGCTGCAGCTGGGGGATGTTCTTCTCTCCTTTGACAAGGCATGCGGTTTGGCTTTTGATGGTTGGGGCCTTCATTTACATCTCTGTAGGACGCACGCGATCGTGGGAAAGACGGGACAGATGCTAATTCCAGTCCACACGCAGCATAGCTCCTTCATCTACAGAAAGGACTTCAGATTCGCCTGGGACTGAAACGCACATGGTACTATCCCATGTCTTGGCTCTCCGGCTCATTATGCTGCAATGGATCCTGCAATACTCAGATCTCAGCAGTCAGACCCATACTTTGCGCGGCCAGTCGAAGCAGTCGCAGGAACCGATTGCCAACGATGGCACCATCATGTTTCGGAAGCCTGGGCCCTGGGAATATGGGAGTTCGCGGGCGCGTGTGCCTTCCTGCATGTGCGGCGAAGCTGACCACTCTGAGTTGTCTGGCTCTACCTGAGTCATCTTCACAGGACTCGCGTCGGTAGCAGCAGTGGCTTGCGTGTTCTTTTGCACTGCGCCGCCTGGTACAGCAACAGGAAGACCATGAAGGCCGACTTGAGTCGCAGAGCAACAGCAGCAGCAGTGGCAGCAGTAGCAAAATAACAACATGAAGCAACATCGGCTGTGGCTGCTAAATTGTAGCAAGGCTCCGGCAGGAGAGCAAGAGGTGATAGTGGAAGAGATTCCACCGCAGTAGCTTCCTTGGCCCCGTAGCGTGCTTTCTCCTGACCTCGTCATACCACATGACAAGTTGCCTCACTCTAAATGTCAGCGCCAGGCGCAGAGATGTGAATATTCTACATACATCCATGCGTACATACAGCATGCTTACATACATCGAAACGGGGTGGCCTAGGATCGGTAACACCCGGCCCAAGGCACGAGCGCGTCGCTTTCTCATGGCTCGTTCGCTTCCCGGACACTCCGATGGCGGTTTGCTGCTTCAGGCTTTGGGGGTTGGATCTGCGTTTTCGGGCTTTTGCTATGTACATGCCACTTCACTTCAACCACTGCACCTGAACATGAGTTTGGATTTGGAGGATGCAGGTTTCAGTCTCAGGATTCCCTTAGCAGCTGTTGGATTTGGAGAATGTTGCTGATTCTAAGGATGTTGTCCTCCAGCATACCAAATGCTGTTCTTTATGATGAAGCGCGTGTGTGTTTGCTGTTGTGCCAAGCTGTTACATCAGTTTGTAACTGTGCTTGTCGAGCATCATTACGGGTCGTTCGTGCAATTGCTTCTTTTGCAGACCAATTACCTCGGTCTTGTTCGCTGTTGTGGCTTGCTGGTTTCTGCTCGCTGCTAGGCTGCGCGTGCAAACCGTACTGTTTCTGCGGGAGCTGTTCTGCTAGAATGTTCGGCAATATTCAGGGTTTTTTCGATCTAGCCTAGCCAACTTAAAGAGGCGCGCCTCTTCGCCGGTTGCGTTTCTAAGGTCGCTCAAAAGTTCTATGGCGAACCTGTGCGGTGCTGAGAGATAGATGAGATTCAGACGCACTGAGATTCTGGCAAGCAGGTATGACAAAGGGCCATGATGCCTTTCAAGGTTGCACTCTGACAGAAGCAACACGTGGCCTCAACCAACCTCGAAAGTATTGTTGTTGAATCTTGCTGCCTTCCATGGCGTACCGTCTGTGCAGATTATCGCGCTTCCTTTCACAAGGCGTGGCGAACATAATGGCATATCGGAGGACATGCATATGGACTTCCACTGCTAGATTTCGTGGATGCCCGGTCTGATCAGTTCGAGCACGTTAACAGCCGTCCACGATAGTTACTCATGAGTATTCGTCCTCGTGCTCTCCTTTTTGCAAGTTCGCTTCAGGCCGACATGACAGTGCTACGGGACGGCAAACTGCCCCTCAGCTATGCATCTGTTGGGGGGAGCGGGGGAACTGGTCTTTGGTACTTATATCCGAAACGAAAACAAGCAACGGTTCTTGCAAAGCATCTCACAACCATCTCCTCACCAGGAAGCATGGCTGCCATCACGAACAGCAAACAGTGCTTGTCAAAATATGCCGGACGCAATGTTGAGCTGCCCTGTACAGAGCAAGCATCTCAGGTCCTTGCTCAGTGTCAAAAGTTCCTGACCTTCCCTTTGGCTGCCCAACTTGGCAGAGAGCCGGACCACCTTGTCATTCCAAAACCTGCTTGGCCCTCCAAACCTTCAGTTCGCAGCCCAGACTTCTATCTACAAGACAAAAAGAGCAGATCCAACGAACAAAATTCAAAATCCTAGGCCCCAAAGCCGAAATCCGAAGCTCCAAACCTTAAACATCTTGCAGCCTACGTCCTGAAAAGGGCACCATGACCTTTCCGACTCTGCCAGGCTCGAGCTTCACCTGGACGACCTGCACCCACAGGCCGGAGACGGTTTGTTGCTTTTTTTTTCCAGGAGTTGAGGTCTCGTTTTCGAGTCCGGAAGACATGGTAAACTCCTTCTCTCACCTTAAGGCCCCGAGAACGGAGTCGACCCTTATGGAAACTGGTAGAATCCCAAACCCTAAACCCTGAAAATACCCCTTTAAAAGCACTCCTCATCCAACTGTGTTGTCTATGGTATCTTAGACGGTTACCCTTATGTTCCCTGCAACAGTCAGTCGCTCAGGCTTCCCTGGTTCCGGTGCATCTCTTTAACACCAAGTTCCAGGTGTCGGACCCTCGGTTTTTCTGTTTGGGATTTCGGGCTTTAGATTAGGATATCGATTGCTGGCTTTGAGGGCTTAGGAGTTCGGGCCAGGGGTTTGGGTTTAGGATGTTGGGTTTAAGATTTTAGTTTAGGATGTGTGTGGTGGTTCTTGCTATATAAATTGTGTCCGGGTCTGGGTTTCTTGAGTCATCCGGTAGAACGACTGTCGCACGCCGCGCGCCTTGCGGTGTCCTACCTGTGCATCCCCGAGCCGCCTCCGCGCATCCATCCTGGCAACGTGGTATGTGTGTGTATATATATATATATATAATATACACGCGTACCAACAAGTGTGTGTGTGTGTATATATATATATACAAAAGTGAGTGTGCATATACATATATATATACATGTTTAGGTGCGTATGTACATATGTAACAGTTTGCATGTGTGTATATATATATATACATCTATATCTATAGAAAACCATGTACGGAGGTAGAGATAGAGATATGGAACATTGTACTCTAGTGTATATTCTAGTTCTAACCTAGTCTACTCCAGCCAAACCCAACCTGATATAGTATAGGGTAGTATCATATACTAGAATACACATGTCTATTTCTGGTGCATACTCGTTTGCCGCAGCTGTCGACGAGGCCGTCCTACCTCATCGTGGCAGGACTGGTCTTCACCACCCTGCCAGCACCTGAGAGCGCACCACCAAGCCCAATGCCACACAGTGAACCTATCAAGATACTGGCAAGTTAAACGAAGTGCGACTTCGAGACCCACCAAGCATTCATCGAGCCTAGGCCGAGAAACTGGGGTGTGCTAGCGCTGGGAGTAGCTATTCTTGAGCAAGCCGCAGGACCTTTGTCGCACAACTGCTGCAAGAAGCAGATGAGTGCGTCAAATTCTTCACTCCAAGGTCCGTCCCCTTCCTCCGCTCTGAGTTTGGCGAGGAATGGGATTGTGAGGCCCGATACCGGCAGGGATGCAAAGCTTCACAAAGCTGGCTGAAGCAAGGACCTCAGAACCCGAACCTCCACCAGCGTGCCTCGCAGTATGTGACAGATGATCTTCAGCGACATTCTAATTGCAGGAGACAGCGCAAAATTGCGACGACTGAACATTAAGGTTGCAACTAACATAGTGATTACATGTCTAAAGCTACAGAAGCAGTTGTAATCAGTGTTCAGTGTTGTATGCTCTTAACTTCAGCAGAGTCATGACTGCCGTCATGCTGACGGCGTAGACGATCTTGACAGTAGGGGAATCGACTGCTTTCTCTCGTCCTGCAGGCCCCGGTGGAGATCGTACATCGCCTGATGCATCAGCGTGCTGAAGAGAAGGGCGAGCAGCTGGTAGCCCCGGGCTGAGAAGCAAGCTTTGCGGAAGGTGGTCAACAACATGAAGACTTGACAATTGAATGACCTAAAGGCTTCAATTTTTGTTGTTATGATTAAGATGATGAACATGGCCCTGTGACTGGAGCGACAACGCAAGCAAGGCTACAGTTCTGGAATTGCTCCCGCTGCTACAACTCACCCCTGCCATCACTGCTAAAAATCTTAGTAGCACGATTACTGCTGCTATATCTACAACTACAAGTAGCATTGGCCGCTGACACTTCCACCACGGCAACCCCGACGACGGCTCTCCTACGACGATCATGGCGACCCTGCCACACGACGACGAATGTCGGAGGTTTCAGGCTTATTGGCGCAACTCTGGCTTTGGAAGTTGCGGTTTCGGCGGTTCGATGTGGCGTATGATGCATGCAGGTCTATACCCTCAATTTGACCAGCGCGTGCCGAAAGGAAAACGGTGAACCCAACGCCCGGATCATGATCCATGAGCTACACAAGCAGCATGGCTCTCGTATACTATCAGGTCCTGACCCAAGTCCTTGCGCACGACTTGACCGTCGGCTATGAGGCCTAAGCGGGTGGGATGCTGTTGAGATGTCTATTTGTAATCCCACAGACAGGAGGCATTCGGCGATTGCAAAGGGATGAATCCTCACAGATGGTCAAGGGTTTCCGTTCGATTTGAGGGTGTGACGGGCATCGGATTTCATGTTGACGCTGGTTTGTTCACCAGTCGTCGTCGTCGTCGTCGTCGTAGTAGTAGTAGTAGTAGTAGTAGTAGCAGTAAAAGTAGTAGTAGCAGTAGGAGTAGTCGTAGTAGTAGCAGTAGTAGTAGTAGTAGTAGTAGTAGTAGTAGCAGTAAGTAGTAAAAGCAGTAGGAGTAGTCGTAGTAGTAGCAGTAGTAGTAGTAGTAGTAGTAGTAGTAGTAGCAGTAAGTAGTAAAAGCAGTAGGAGTAGTCGTAGTAGTAGCAGTAGTAGTAGTAGTAGTAGTGGTAGTGGTAGTGGTGGTGGTGGT